AGTATTTTTTTTATTTATAAAACTTAAATTTAAAATCTTATTTAAGGCAAATAAAACTCTTGTGTGATTAAACTTAAGCTAACTGTGTAATTTAGGGTAACTGAATTTTAAGACTTATGATATCAAAAATGTATATTTAAAAATTTATGTTTTGAAATAAGAGTAACAAAATACTATTGTGGTTAAAATCCTAATGAAAAACTTCACTTTTTATTTAAATTTTTTTAACGCCTTTCATCACTAATACCATCATCTTATTCAGCACTAAAAGTTGAATTGTAGTTTGTTGGATTCATTATAACCACTTACGGTTTTATTATTTCTAGACAACTTATTATCATTCATTTGTCAAAATACATGAAAAAAATAATAATAATTTATTTATTTATTCATTTTAACTAGCTAAATTCAAATTATATATGGAATTTAATTAGAAAAAAAAATAATTTATACATGAATAAAATATTCATAATTAGCATATATTATTAAACTTAATTAAAACTGAATATGCATAAAATCAAAAATATATTATCTATAATTACAGATAACCAAAGTAAAACCTTTTAATTTTTAAATGAAATCTTCACTTTTTAAATCTTAAACAAGTAACAAAATTTTCAACTAAATATAAAAAAATCGATAAAAGAAAATTAGAAATAAAATTTCATTTTGGAATATAAACTATAATAAATTAAAAGGTTTTATTCTATTACCTGCAAATAATTATTTTGTTTAGTTTTTATCTGTACTTGAGTCTATCTTTAAAAATTATTATGAAAGAAAATTTTTGCCACGATTGAGTTTTTCCTTTATTTGTTTTATTTTACTTTTTACATCAAGAGTATTAAGATATTGTACATAATTTTAATGTTATTTGGATGATAGAAGTGATTTAATGCTTAAGGTTCAAAACACATATTTTTAAATGTACATTTCAATACCACAAGTTTTTAAATGCACTCACTTTAAATCATTTCTCCTATTATTTTCCTTTTTCAGCCGAGAACAAGGAAATTTCTAATGCACCTTTCTAAAGCTGTAAATTCGTTACTCACTTCCCTCTTTTTTTTATTAATATAAATTTTAAATAAAA